ATATATATATAAAAAAATCAACAAATTATTGTATGATCACACCCCCAGTTTTTAATATAGCAGTTGTGGATATGTGGAGGTCCTCATTCAACAGCCTATGAGCCTGAGAGAGAAATCAAAGAGCGGATTTACAGTTGTTGAGATATAAGCTCAAGGGTAGATTTGCCCAAGGTCTTACATCACCCTACATTCTCCTTGTGCGTTGTTCTTATGTTACAATGCCATCTTGTGGAATTTATGCCGTGGTTAGTCAGTCAACTGCTAGTGTTGTCGAAGGGCGCAGATGTAAATCTCCGGTTTCTTTTATTTATCTAGTTTAAACATTCATATGTTTATGTCACAGGATGGTGAGACAGGATAGAAAATACAGAGCATGATGATGGACAGGGCAATTAGTTCATTTTGCACCGGCAATGGTAATCTGTGGGTATCAAAGTCATCAGCATTTTTTGTAAGTAGACTAAACATTAGATTAACAAAATGTCAAATTAAGATCATTCATTTACCTAGAAAGTACAGTTCTGTGTGTCACTATTATAAGAGGTGCCATCATAAACAGAGTTAACGGTATTTCGGTGACTGGGCATCCCTAATGATGTCTGACTCCAGTCGTATAGTGTGCCCACAGGTCACAGGTAATGATATACTCCAAAGCTGTGAAAGCAGAAAGAGGCTGTTTTTTGCTGCTGTGAGTTATAAATTCCCAAAATGTGGGATTTTATATTTGGCTGAACATATTTTGGGCTAAATGTGCTATTCTATGAAACACTGAATCTGTTTGTCAGTGCAGTAGTAGTAACAGCTCAGTCTGGGTTTTTTTTTTTTTCCTTCTTGTTTTTGATGGTTTCATGATACTTGACTACCACAAGAGGGAGTAAGATTCATTGACTATTCCTCTTTGCACAAACAAATACTGTATGAAATACATAATAAACTGTTTCTCCTCAAGGATTAAGTGCCATCTTGTTGAGGCATGATTCATATATGTGTTTGCATATACAGTCATCAGCAGTACTTTGTGGTAGCTTTAACAAAAGCTTTCTCTGCACTGTTGCATTCAGATTTTTAGCTCTATGTGTAGTTATCTGTGTATATTTACATGCAACAGTAAGAAATGACCATGTGTTGTACATTGTCACAGTTATCTGGCATTAGTTCTACACATTGCTCTGTTCAGTTGAATCATCTTGGCAGATGGATTCCTGAGAGCATGTACTCTAAGCATGATACAGTAGCAGTAAGCCTACAAGCATAAGTGGCTCTCGTCTGTCCAGCTACCTCACCTTTCAGTACAAGTGCACCTGTGAAATGAGAGTCACAGCACGAAAGCTTTCTTTGACCCTCATCTCCCTGCAGCCCAAAAATGGGTATCCATAGCAACAGATTTTACTTCAGCTTGCCCTTGCTCTTGCGTCAGAGTGATGACAGTGTCAGAATGATTTGCTTTTCTTGGCCAGTGTTAAAATATCCTATTTTTTTCCTTCTTGTTTTGAAGGTTGTGGTCATAAAAGACATGAAAGTTGAACATCTTGTTTCTGACTCTGAGATGAAGCCTGTAGGAGTTGTGTGAAAATGCACAGCTAAGGTGTGAAGATTGATAGTTACTTGTTCTTAGTGACTTTCCATTGATGCTGCTCAGGAATCCAAATTTCTAGAGGATGATTTTCTCAGTCTGTTGAAACATAATTACATTTGATTACACAGCTTAAGTGAAGCCTCATCTAGATCCAGCCCTGCCAATTTATCAGTCTAGTTCTAAACATGCTATTTTAGAAACTCTGCTGAGGTCAAACACGGACCAAGAGCTGAGATTCTCACACTGAAGATTGAACCTTTTTTTAACACATGGAAGAAAGATGAGAAATACTCAGATTATTACAATACCACCTGAATGACTCAGAAAATACAGGAAATAGTCTTAGCTGTGCGAAATACCAATTTTTAAAATACTCAACATTTTTTTAAATGGATTTCCCAATGATTCATATGATTTAGATTTTTTAATTGTTCATTTATTTGTATTTTAACTTAATGATTTGTTTTCCTCTTTATTTAATTCAAGTTTCTTGTAGTACATCACAGTTATTTGAATAATTAACATTGTAGAGGTCCTTATCAAAAATGGAAACACTTGCCATCTAAATCAGTCGGGCTTGAATTAAGAATAACAAACCTGTATATATAGTAACTCCTTTCCATCTAAATTGTATGTTTATGATTCAAACTGCTCTCATAATGTAGTTGGAATGTTCTTTGAATTATTTAGCTTAATCTCACTTTAGTTACACCATCACATACGCAGAGACAAACTTGGGTGTCTGCAGTCTGGCTGCCAAGTTTTCTTTTCTGTATGACTCACTGAGATAAAAATAAACCCAGGTAGTTGTTTGACAAGGCTTCTTCAGTCGGCTTTGAAGCTGCTCTCACTTTAAATGTCTTTTGCTGACTTGCTGTTTGCTTTTGAGGTAAACAGAGAATCTGCCTGTATTGGAGAGTGAGAGGGAGGTGGAGAATGAGTTTGACACAGGGTGAAAAAAAATGATAGGACAGTGGGAGAAATGAGAGATAAACAAGGAATTGAAGAGGGGAAGAAGAGATCAATACATGAATAGAAGTAGAGAAATGGAAAGCAAGGGAGTGCAAGAGCGAGAAAACAGGTGGCG